AGGTTGTCCGAAAAGACAAGTAGCACGTGTTATGCATCCTTGTCATGATAGAAGTGCACTGGTACTTAGTTCTGTAGAGCTGAGAGTCAATGTTCTGATATCTCACATCCTGAATCATATTTTATTAACTTTGCTTATGTTACTCCTATTCTGTGATTCAGCTCATTCTATAAGATTTACAAGTTGTAACAACTTTCTTTGGCGTCATATCTGTGTTTGCCTATGCTTCTCTTTCCTTCTGTCACCATATTATGCAGTAAACTCACAAGTACTAATATATTTTTCACCACCATTAGTTTTGCTGGCAAATATTGGAATATCTGCTGCTTAAGGCTCATGATACTTGATGATGAAATCACTCGTTGCTGTCACTTTTGACAGACTTTCTTAGAGGGGGAGAGAGCTACCGCATATCTAACAGAACATATCAAGAATGACCTCTTGCAACGCACTGCTTTTGAAATAACTGGCCATTATAATGAATTAGCTACCGACCTTGTTACCGTGGTAAGCATACAACTCTTCTACCTCTAAAACTAATGTGTCTGATTTTTAAACATTCTACCCCATAGAATAAAGGTCAAGAAATTGTTAGAGAGTTTATCTTGCAACTTCCTTGTAGGCCCGGAAAACAGAATCTTCCCTTCAGAAAATACGTTTAGGTGCACAGAGGCGAGCTGGAGCCAGCTCTGATGTGTCAGACCATAATGTGTCCGATACTGACAAGATCTGCATGCAACTATTCCTTGATATCCAGGTGACTGCCATCTCTCCACAGCTCTTACATATAGTGTTGCACGCATGCTAGAAGTGGATCTGTTTGCTATCAGTTAGAACAGTCACTTGACCAAGTCCTTTTTCTGCAGGAGTATGGACGGAACCTAGCTTCTCTTGGGGTTGAGGCGGCTAATATACCAGCATATCGATCATTGTGGCAGTGTGTGGCTCCTCCAGACAGGCAAAATTCAATAAGCTTCTAGTCCGGCTGTCAGTCATTTTTGGTTGTATAATTCAGAACAACACCACTCCTTTGAATGAGTTGTTTGTGAGCTCTGGTGATAGGTTACTATACTTCTGGAAAACAATCACATCGATCCAAGAGAGACAAAGAAATCACACAATTTTTGTTTGTTTCTTCAAAATTTTCCTTGCTGGTCTGATTTGTAAGCCCTAGTTCCCTTGTAGCCTTACCTACCATATTGTAACTAGTTGAGTCATCCGGCTTCAATATCTTGGTCTACACTGTCGTGCAAGCACTGTATTCTACATATACCTTTCAAAAAGTAATAACATCAGTTGAGGTCCACTGTTACTACATTTTTGGGTGGTGGCTGCCCCTCCCCGCCCTCCTCTCGTCCCGTCCGTGTTCACGGGGTTGCTGATAATTCTAAAGCTCTCATAGTTATAGTGAACCTGCGTTTTTAGGACTCGGGCTTCCATGGTTGCTATTCACAATTGCACACGAAAGTTTGAACACTAGTACAATCATCTTAGACACTTGAAAAATCAATGTGCAGAACTGTAGATATTAGGACAAGAATGTGCAGAAGTGCAACAAAAGGTTAGCACTCACTAGATTGTGACCTTTCACCTTGAGCATGAGGAATTTTCACTCTTTTAAGTATGAGAATGCTCCTTTGTCCTCGTATGTCAAATCACGTTGTGGATGAACCTGCTATAAGTGGGATGGGAGGTTTTGTAGTTTGTCAGTGACAATTATCGGTCAGGTAAGTGGTCCAAATCAGGTCATAGTAACTTGGCTCGATTTGGCCGGTGAATGTAAATCTCATAAAGAAGAAAAAAATTCTTTGTTTTAGATTTAAGTCACGTCAATTCATTTTTAAATTGGGCTGTGAATTGTTGTCTGCTAAACCAAAATTTAAAAAATGAAAATAATTATCGTTTTCAAAATTGACAATCTAAATTTAGGTCGCATATTAAATTGCTTCAATTTGGACCGTGAATTGTTATCTGCAATCCGTGTTAGCAAAAATACATATATTACGCGAAATTTTACTCGTAAGCACAATTATTTGATATATATTTAGGTATCCTCTCCTGTCTTGAATTGAAGGAGACGGATAAATACGCCCAATTTTTCATTAATTTTGGAATGAAAAGCATAAAATGCCCCAATACTACCATGTCGATGCGCATGGCTCCAAGAGTCCTAAGTTGGAAAGAGTTGCACTATGCTTCTTTTTTACCTCCCCAATAGCAAGGCAGATGGATTAGGGGTATACAAATGTGGTGCCAAATAGCAGGTTAAAGGTGGTGTCAGAGCACTTCTTTGGTCTTAGTTAGGTTTGTATACATGCTAATCCTTTACACAGTATCTTTAGGCTTCCGCTCCCTGTAGTATAGAATAGATTAAATTATACAAATGTTATTGTTATCAGAAAAAAAAAAAAAAAAAATAGCAAGGCAGACGGATTAGGGCTCCCACAACACCAAACGTTTTACTTACTGTTTCCTACATCTTATGTCCACATTGAAATTGTTGCTGTTATGCCTCTTGCAATCTCGCCTTATCATTGTTTGTTATTTATTGTTTATTTTTTCTTTTCTTATGAACAAATCTGTCATAAATTAGTAGTAATAATTATAATAAGTTTTTTTTTTGCAAAAATTGAATTTAATTCGAAAATATATCTAAATACAGGATGGAGTAAATATCTATACAATATACTTAGGTGTACTAATTGGATACTGGTTAGAGAAATGCATAATAAAAGTAATGTGACCATTTTGAGCTCAAATTAGCAATTTCTTATAAAGTTCATACTTGTAATAGGCTCACAAGTATGAGAAAATTCTTTTGAGTGTGAGAGCATGCCTCAACTTAAAGTTGACACTTGACACACACATTACAGATCCATACAATTGGCATCAAAATGAAAAGCTTTCAGCCTTTAGTGAATCTTAACTTGCAGAGCAAAATTTCTTAACAATTTAGTGAGGGGAAAAAAAAAAGAAAAGAGAGAAAGAAGAAACAAATATTACACAAAAAAAAGAAGAAAAAAAATATGTTGTTTAAATTGTACGCATACAACAACGAAATAGGGGAAAGACAGGAAATGACTGATTTATCGAAAATGGAAGAAGTCATTTTTGTTCTTAAATATTATGGAAGAGTGTTAAGAAGCGATAGCTCATGTGATTAATACAAAGCACAATCCATTATTTTAAGCTCCACAATATGGCTTTGACTTTGGACGACCACCTTCAAAGTTACGTTTTAATTTGTGGAGGCGATCAACTTGAATTTGAAGGGAAGACATTTTTGCTCAGTGCTTTTAATTGCTTAATTATTTATGCTACTTTATCCTCCCTAAAAGGAATCCAAGTAATTTGTATCATGTATGAATGAACATTCACATGCAGACATAAAATTTGAACTCTGAATCTAACAACGATAAATACTTTAAGTGTCTTATCCTAAATCTAATTTGACAGCAGAAAAGACTTTAAGAACCCTTCCGTAACTATTGGACCGGCTCTAGTGAGTAGATAACATGTCTATTCATGCTTGATTTCAACTTAAAAAGAAAGAAGAAAAATAAAAAAAGTCGGTATGCTTATTGACTTCTGAGATGAATTATTCCCTGGGAATACAACCTTTAGTGGCTAAGATTAAAACCTCAGAGCTCAGATATTGAGGTTCTAAATCCCCGGCCTCTTCCCCGTTTCTTACATTCTAATCCTCCGTGCTAGAAAAAAATTTAAAAAAAAAAGGAAGAAGAAAAGAGGAGAGAACTCATTGCAACTGTTGGTTCAGCCACAGGTTCACGAGAAAAAAAAAATTCTACTGCATGATCAGAGCTGGGGAAAGAAATACTTGCCTCTCTACCCAATTTCCGCCAAGGGGTGAAAGGAAAGAAATTAGATTACTCCAGTGCTCTTAGGAGATCAGGCACAAAAAAATGTTGGAATTCATGACTATCACTACAGGGCAAATCACAAATGTACTTCCCCAGTGGCTACTTCTAAAGTCAATGGTGCTGGAAAAAAGATGAAGCATATTGCAACTAACTACTAGCAAACTTGAAGAAAACTCAATGATCTGACAATGACGGAATAGTGAAAGTGCATTATACAGCAGTGCTTTCAATCTTATTACCAACCGAAAATTCAGAGTCAGAATCATATGAGGTCCCACCCTGAAAAGCTATTTACCCGTTCTTTGGAAATTTACTCAGCCATGACAAGTCCAAATCCTTATATAATGATCTCAGGTTCAATTGGCTTAGACCATGCACAGAGATGCTGCACGGATTCTGCAGCTTCAATACCAACAGCTGATCACACTTGTTGTCAAGCCGTGAGCTGGAGGGAACAGGACACACAAACATGAGAAGCATATGGGCGATGCTGATTCTATTAGTCACTCTTCAATGCACATTTCTTCCATGTCATATTGACTCTAGAATTCTTCTTTCCACTCATGCAGCAGAGAATGAGATTGCGAGCCCTGAAGTTCCCTGGAAATCTGATCCATGGGAGAGCATAAGAAGCCACTTTGGCAGGAGATTCAGAATGCGTTCCCTAGCTTCTGGCCCAAATGGAAGGGGCACCGGGCACGAGTGAAATTTGTTTCTACTTGGAGTTTGCCAATGAAAGTTGATTTCCATTTCCTTTTCAATGTTCGAAAAGAGTCCAACACTGAACTGCTGCATGTTTTACGCATTCCATTTTATGGATCAAGAATATTCTTATCAAGTAACAGCCCTACTCAGCAAGCAATTGCTGACGAGTCTTTTATCTTTTTCACGTTGCAATAGCTATTATCAGAACTAGCTATTTCAGAATCATTCTGATTTTTTTTTTTTTTTGGTTATAACCATGTAATAGCAGAAGTATTCTTTTAGTTTATCTCCATAGGAAGTTTTTCCTTGATCTTTTTCGTGTATTTATTTTAGCCTCTGAAAGGTCCTTCAGACTTGGTCGGATTCAAGTTTCTAGCGTTCTAGTCAAAGCTGTTAAAGAGATAGCAACACCAATGTGAGGAATCTCATTCCCTTCCTAAATATTGCTAAACTTAATAAGCTTTTGATAGTAGCTCAGCTCAGCTTGCACTCCTCAAAATTGAACAACTTGCTAATGCACTACGGGAAAGATTCAAAACATTTCTCAAACAGGCAATGGATCTACATGGTTACAACAAGGTAAGAAGAGCAATGCTGAGTAATTTTACAAGCTATTTATTGTTTTATTGACTACTTCTCTTGAGAGGCTGCAATGGAACTTCAGTTCTGAAAGCTAGAATGTAATCACTTGTACATCATCTAGCATCCTCCATCCTTAGCTGAGAGAACACCTCACTAGGATTTGTGCTACTTCTCTCAATATTAGCATCTGAGCCAATTTCATCTTCACTCATGGCAATGCTGTGAGAAGGCAAGCGGCGAATTACTGGCAATGGCAAGTTGTAGGAAACATCCGTGTTGCTGCCCTCATGCGATTGTTCTGGAACTGCAGTGTGCTGAAGCTGCAATGCATACTCAAGATCCCACAACACATCAACCATATTAGGCCTATCAACTCCACATTCTTTTAAACACTTCTCAACAGTTTCCTCATATCTGCTCAATGAATTCGAGTCGATCTTACCAACAAGAAAAGGGTCAATGATTTTGTGAAGTTCTCCTTCCATTAGACAAGACATTCCCCAGTCAGCCAGGTTTACTTGCTGCCAGGGAAGCGAGTTGTCAATGGCTGGCCTTGCACAAAGCACTTCAAGAAGTACAACTCCAAAAGAGTACACATCAGATTTTTGAGTTAATTGAAGGCATCTAAAGTACTCAGGGTCAAGATAACCAAAGCTGCCTTTCACCTCTGTACTGACATGGGTTTGATCAAGAGGACCTAATCTTGAAATACCAAAATCGGCAACTTTAGCCACATAATGCTCATCTAGCAGAATATTTGTTGACTTCACATCCCTGTGAATAATTGAACCGCCTAGACCAGTATGAAGGTAGTGTAGACCTTTTGCTGCATCAATGCACAATTGAAGCCTTCTATTCCAAGATAATCCAGATAGTGAAGTTGATTTCCCAGATTCTTCCTTAGGAGTGTAGAGATGGTCTCTCAGAGTCCCCTTCTCCATGAACTCAAAAACTAGTACCATCTCTGATCTTTCATAGCAGTATCCAATCAAAGAAACCAGATGGCGGTGGCGAATTTTGGACAAGACCATTATCTCAGTTTGGAATTCTGGAAGGCCCTGCGTTCGTCCTGGTTCACTTCTTTTAACAGCAACTTTTGTTCCATCCCTCAGAGTACCTCTGTAGACTTTGCCAAAACCCCCTTCACCGACAATCAGTTTCTCATCAAAGTTCTTTGTTGCGTACAGAATTTCACCAAAAGGCATCTTCAGGCCAAGATTTAAATCCGGAAGAGGGGAACCATTGGTATTTCTGTCCGTGCTCTTGCTATATGAAGTTCCTGCATTCAGATCCATTAATTGCCAGTCAAGAGCATCGACAGGTTTTCCTTTCCTCAACTTCAAACTAAACCAGAACAATACCACTGTAATGATGATGAGAACCACACCTCCAGCAACTGAACCAATAATAACGGGCAAATGCTTGTTTCCTGATCCACTTCCATTTGAAATTGGACCTGGAACGTTAACCAACTGCATAATCTCTACCCCGTTAAGAAAGGCCGTTTGTTTACTAGAATCTTGCCGTGGGCCAATACTTACATTCATAAAACCAGAATCATCTGAATCCACCACAAAATCATTGTAATATGGAACTGCCGTCATGGCTGCGGTAGTGGATTCTTGTGGATCAATTTTTTGGCTGAAGTTACTATAAATATAGAGATTGAATTTCAATGGCTCGCTACCAGCTGGACTAATTACGTCACAAAAATGCACCCGGACTAGAAATTTGGCATTTCCATTTACATTGAATCCCCAAGAAGCATTAAAATTTTCTTTCGGGAGAGTGACACCTTCCCGACTAGGAGTGATGTTCAGCTCTTTGGCAGTGTTATAAACAGGGTCAGGAGCATCAAACTTTGTTGCAAATTCGGGCTGGTAATTAGGCGGTGCACTACGAAATGAAGTGTTCTTGGCTGCAGCCCGGTGGACCAAATAATCATCATCAGGTATCCAATTTCTCCCCAAAGTATCAGTGTCCGGTGTTACAGTCAGTCCACCAACGTTAATCCTATGAACTACTTGTAAAGCATTGGACAACAAACCATTGTAAACTCCTTTGCTTCCAGCAGGAGTTATGTAAAAAGGAGAATCCTGAATGAAGTTATCAGGAGCAAGAAATGCTTCTATAGCATTAACAAAGGCAAAAGAAGATGACGCGGATGGCGTGAAGTAAATTTGGAAGTTCCCCACATCGATACGGATCAAAAACTCTTTAATCACAGGTGACTTACTGGTGCTACTATTTTGGACGCTGAAGTTGGATAGGAGTGAAAACTTGGAAGTTGACACGTCGAATCTGGCAGTAGCAAGATTATCTGGAGAAGTGAAAGCATAGAAGTGAAAACGTACCACGTAAATGCCATTCTGGACAAGGTCAAGATCATATGAAGATTTTTGTCTGAAAATTCTTGCAGTTTGATAGAGTGGAGAAGATGCTGAATCCGATGATTGGTCTTCTTTGCTGTGGCTTGCGGACAAGGTGAAAGAATCGGGGTTGACGTCGCCGACGAAGTTCCGCCCGTAGACGGTTGTGCTCCCACTTGAGCCACAGTTGATGAAGTAGCGATCAGGTACGCTGTAAGCGGAGGTGTTGATTCCGTTGAACAACAAAAGATAGCAGCACAAATTGAAGAGGACATAAACTGTTTTTGGAGGATGAAGGATTTCCATTGAGTTTTGGTGGAAATTGATGAGTTTCATGAAGATGGTTTCTCGAATCTGTACTGTGAAGTCCACGGAATGGGAAGCCTTATAGTCTTTAGCTAACTTTTTCTCACGTGGGTACGAAATGGAATAGGACAACACATCCGCCTGAAGCTACATTAAATTTTAGGGATAATTTCAGACCTCCCTTCAAATTTGAAAAATTATAGAAGCCTCCCCCCAAAAAGTACTCCCTCCGTCCCGTTTTGTTAGTCCTGTTTTCCTTTTTTGTCTGTCCCAAATTGCAGTCCACTTTTCAATTGAAGAATGTAGTTGTATTTTCATTTTCCTAAAATACCCTTATTCAATACAAGTTGTTGGTGCTATAAACCTACCCCATTTAATGAGAGTTGATTCTTTTTTTACCATCAATTCAAGTTCCCATAAAATTGTACTCTATTTAATGTGAGGGTATTTTAGGAAAATAGCAATCTAAATTTACTTTTCCAACAAAGTTAACTACTTTTTCTTAAACTGTGTGAAAAAAGAAACAGGACTATCAAAGTGGGACGGAGGGAGTATGTTTTAGTAACAAATGGTGACATCAGCACAAAAAAGTCTAATGAATATCCTGTACTGCCCCAATTTGATTTAACAAACAAATTAAATGACAAAAGAAATCAAATATCAGCATTACTTATTAAGTAAAAAATTTTAAGGCAGCTCTTCTTTGCAGCAAAATTTAGGTCATGTTTCAAGGCATTATTTTTAATGTTTGGACTTCTTTTGCCTTTTTTTTTTTTGCTAATAAATTATGAAGAAATTATTTTTAATAAGTGCATCCCTACTAATCAGCTATTTATAAAACTAAGCAGAAAATCCATTTAAATGACCTAAGAATTGAATACAAATGCATTACTAGTTGAGATGGGGTTAAAGCTTTTGGATAAAGAAATATTTTCGAGATGTGGTTTTCTTTTTCCTTTACACCCGCTTTTTCACTTAGAATTTGTAAATTGTCAAGACTATAATAGAATTTTTATAACACCGACGAAGGTCGGTGTAATTTTTTAAATTTCAAGTCAAGAAATTTGGCTAAATTGTTAGAAATCTCAAGAGAGATTTATGAAACTATTCCTAATTGTAAGAATCCGAAGCCCTTCCATATTTGAGTTCTGTCCAATTGGATAAACTAACACAATTTTTATATAAACTGATATATTATTGGTGTAATCGTGAGGTTTACATGACTTTGACGGGAACGGGGAGGCCCCATGTCCTATCAAACTTGTGGCGGAAGGTGAGCGAAAGACACACGACTTTGACTGCAACCGGCGGATTGACTTCTAGTCGTCGGATGACCACTTATTAGAGTGTGGATTCCTTTTCCCAGTAGGAGATTAATAAGTGACGGAATCCACCGGTCACAAGCATGAAATTTTATATATTTTTTTAGGGCAGTATTGTTTAAGCAAAAATCAGCAATATCAGTTACAACCATAGTTATTAAACCCGGCCCGGCCCGGCGATCGGACCGGTCAAACCGGTGGCCCGGTCATGAAACCGGGCTAGTTTTCTAGTTAGATCGGAGTTGCAAAGAACCCGCCTTGACCCGTTCGACCCGGACGGTTTAATCATAGAACCGCTAGAACCGGCGGTTATTGATAAACCCGGTGGGTTTTGGTAATTTTTTTGAAGTTACCGTTTTATCCAATTTTTTTATTTAGACCATTCATACTACATGGGCATTATCGTCTTTTTAGCCAAATAAAAGAGAAAATCAGAAAATTAAAGAATGAAGAGGGAATCGGGCATGTGGCCCAATTGGCCGTCATTGGGGATTTAGGCATTAGGGATTGCTTTCTTCTTTGTTTCTCTGAGAAGCGAGAACAAAACAAATGGAGAATTGTTTCTCTGGGATTCGGCCATTGTTTTGTCGGCACTGGCAGTTCGAAGTTTGAGGCAAGCAATTGGAACTTGGAACTTGGAAGTTCGAAGTTCTTCAAGGAAGTCGCCGCTGCTACTGAAGCTGTCGTTGCCGTTGCCGTTGCTACTGAAGCTGCTGCTGCCGTTGCTACTGAAGTTGCCGCGGCCACCGAAGCTCCAGGTACTCGAAGCTACCACTACCGCTGCTACTGAAGCTGCTGCTACCATCGAAGCTCCAGGTACTCGAGGCTGCCGCTGCCGTTGCCACTGCCGCCGACGCTGTCGCTGCCACCGAAGCTGCCGCTTCCAGGAAGCTTTGTTCCTCTCAATCCTCTTGTGGAGTTTGACGGTCTCTCTCCCTATTCTCTTAAGGAGTTAAGTCTCTCCGAATTCTCTGACCACAGGAAATATTTTGTTTATTCTTTCTTTTTGGATGATTATTTGTTTCTTCTTCCTCTGCATCGAACTTCAACATGTGTAGTTACATAAATTTCCAGTGCCATTTAATACTCTTTGCTTCTGAGAATTTAATTTCAACATGGTTAAATTCATTACCTGTATTTAATCACTTGCCTCGAACCCGTCATTGATATATTAGTTCAAAATGTAGATATTGTTGCCCGTGTCTTTTTAAGGTTTCAAATTGTCAAATCAAATTTAGATTCATTCACTGATGAGCTACAAACCTTGGAGCAATTCTATGATGCTTTGTAATTGCCAACTATGAAGAACTGCTACTTATAATTCTATAATGCTTTGTATTGAATTGGTCGTTTATGACTTATGTTTCATGGTTTGATACTTATATTTATGTGTGTGAAATGAATTATGAACTATGAACAGGTTATAACTTGTTGAGATTTAAGAATTTCTGTACTTATATTATAATTTACATGTTTATTTAATTATATTATATATTTTTTTTATTATATATTGTGACCCAACGGTTCAACCAGTGACCCACCGGTTGAACCACTGACCCGTCAACCCGGTCCTCTTGCCGGGTTGATGTCCGGGTTGGTTTTAATAACTATGGTTACAACATCCTTTATTCTGTCTCAAATTAAGAAATCTTTTTTGATTGAGAAAAAGGTTTGTAGGCTTTAGGATTCTTGTGTGCTAGCTCCCTATGTTGATGCTTTTTACTGTTGAAAAATTTCAAAAGTGTTTGTTTTTTTTTCTTTTTGATGTGTGGAAAAGTCAGGAAATAATTACTGGATTGCATTTTTTTTAAATTTTTTGTAGAAAACTTTCACAACTATAGAAATATCTTTAGCTAGGTGCAAGGAATTCAACTAGAAAGATAAAAAGTAAGAAGGGAAAAGAAATTTCAATTGCAAATTAAAAAATAACTGACAATAATTATCGCAAGAAAAAAGCTTGTAAAGGCATTCAAGGAGAATTGGACCACTCTTCAATTGTCTGTTGGCACGTTCAGGCAAGTTGGCGCAAAAAAAAAAATCGATGAAATTGCTTTTTTTTTTTTTTAATCCTCTCACCCGCTCCAACATCCTTCTTATTAGGGTTGCAAACGAATCGAGTCGAGTTGAGTTTTGACTTAATCGAATCGAGTTTTGAATTAGTTTTATCAAATTCAAACTCGAACTCGAATTCGATGAATTATCAATTTAAAGCTCAACCTCGAAAAAATAAAAAATAATTTATATTTATTTTTTAAAAATAAATAAAATAATAATTTTTAATAAATAATAAAATATTAGAAATATATAATTTTAATAGTAAAATAAAAAAATAAAAAATATATATTTATATATACTCAAGTTCACGAACTAATTCGTAAGCTAACGAGTTTAATATTTTTTATCTTGAATTCGAGCTCAATTTAGCCATTTTGAACTCGACTCGAGTCACTTGCGAGCAATTCAATTTATTTGCAACCCTACTTCTTATCTTTGGCTATCACGCACAGAATTTAAACTCTGAACTCGATGAAATTGCTTTAGTGAAAATATAATTTCAAAAAAAAAAAATCTTTCAAGAGAAGTACAACCAATGAAATTTGCACATGTGCGACTCAAAATCATTGGCAAATGGAAATGTAGTTGGGCCAAGTCGTAAACCGATTTATATGCTGTCACCATCCCACTTTATTTGTTGATAGTTACTCTGTCGCTATGATGTTTCACATCTCAAAAAGGTCGAAGTGAGCCCGTTTGAATTATTATTTTTTAATTTTTTTTAAAAAAAATGTACTATAATTATTTAATGTATATGAGATAAAAAGTTAATTAATAAATGTGTTCATATAAAATATAAAAATTATTTTAGAAAAAAAAAGACTTTTCAAACATACGCGTGGATTAAAAACACCAAACTCTTGGCGACTACACCGTGCTTATGTGATCTCGAGTTTGACTTTAAGGTCGCGTGCCTGCATGGCGTACTGTAGCTAACAATACATTCTACCTAACTCACTAATTGAGAGCAGGGCGCGTTTGATAAAACTAAATTTTGAAAACTGAACTATAAAATTTATATTGATTAATTTATTGAATTGTTAAGTACTAAATTTGATACGTTTAAATGTATATCACATTAAGTGATGAATAAATAACTTATTACTTATTTTTTGGAGGAAGTTTTGTCTAGAAAATTCGGTTCTATTAAATTAATTCAAATGTTTAATTTTTTGTTATCAAACGTGTCTAAATATTTTAAGATTTAAGTCTATCAAGCAAGTGCCTAATTGAACTAGGGATAATTTCAGAAATCTCTCCTGAGGTTTCTGACAATTTCGCTAGCCTCCCCTGAAGTTTATAAAATTACACAAACCTTCTCTGAGGTTAAAGTTTTGACAACAAAATTAATCCAATTAAAAAAAGTAACATTAAAAAAGTACTTAAGGAGAGAGATGAAACTTTTATTCTATAAATACCCCTTATGCATGTACATAAGTCGTATTAGTAAAAGAATAAAAATAATTAAAAGTTAGAAACAATTAATACACACATTTAAACCACTCAAAAAGTTCACATTTAATAAATTAAACAACACAGATAAGTAACAAAACTATACTAATGATTACAAGATTTAGCAAAATAGACTAGTCATCTCTTTGATATATTTGAGTGCATATCACATTAAGTGAGAAGTGAATAACTTATCACTTATTTTTTG